ACATGCTCTGAGTGTGGGAAAAGCTTCAATCAGAGCTCAAACCTTATTAAACATCAGAGAATCCACATGAGAGAGACGCCCCATGGATTATCTGAGTGTGGGAAAAGCTTCAATCAGAGCTCAAGCCTTATTAGACCTCAGAAAATCCACATGGGAGAGAACTAATAAATGCCTTGACTAGGACTGGCCAAAGATTTTTTTTTTTTTAATCTCATTTTCTAATTCCCATATAACGATCATCGAAGAGAGACTGACTGCCAGGATCCCAGGACTGATCCCCCTCTGGGGAATGAAGCACAACGGCGACAGGCTATGCAGCCTTCACTAGTCTCCTGTACCTGAAAAGCCTGCTAGCCCGAAGTGCTGGGCCATCTATGCCATTACCTAGTTCCTCAACTGCAGCTACAGTTCCTACTCCATGTGACTCCAAAGCCGAAGAGCTGCAGAGATCCAACCCCTTGTCAGCTTTGCAATTTATTTTCCTTTTTCTATTTTTGTCTATTGTTTTTTTATGGACATGGAGCCTTCCAGCCTTTCTATTCGATTGGGGTGTAACTGTGGCTCAGTGGGTGTGAGTGTGTGAACACTTCTGAAATCTACACAGGGAAGATGCTAAGAATAGTTCCCCAAATCTTAATAGCCGTAAAACTCTGCCCTATGAAATGACTGAATGCATGCTCCTTTCCCTATGGAAGCATTGCAAGGAATTGAGCTGTCAGATGTACATTGTTCAGCAAGAGCTGTTTGAACTTCTTTTATTGCTGTCTCTGTGAGGTCTGTCTGTGTGTTTTGGGGCGAGAGGCTGAGGAGAAGTAAATAGTGAAATCTAAGGAGAAAACTAATGAGCTTTGATGCTGTGGGCTAAATGTAAGCAATAATTTGGTTTCGGTATTGAAATATTCAGCTGGCTAAATCTGGGATGCACTGCCTGGGTGAAAATCTCTGATTGGGGTTTCGGCATCACTAAATATGCACCTGCCTCCTTGGGTTGCTGTTTTAGGATTTATAAGGGTTGATTTTCTGCTGTATTCATCTGATGGTTTGACTAAATTGATGACTTGATTCCAACACAATATCCTTGTTAACTCATCGATTTACTGATTTGCCCTGAACTTCATCACTGTATTGTTTAACCCTTTGTTAGCTGAGTAGTATTTATAGTCATTTAGCCTTGGTGATGTGTGTTCTCGGTCTTATTTGTTCCAGTTAATAAAACATGTAACTGGGATCTTGAGTCATTTCTTTCAATAAGCAACAGGGGCTGGAGCTGTGGAGAATGTGAGCGGAGATCAGCCACTCCCCATCTGAGCCTTCCAAATTAACACTGTGTTTCCCAAAGAGCAGCAATGGAGGGGGATCTATCTTAGCTCCAGCTGTGTCCAGGTGGGGAGGGAGAGCTCAGATCATCACAAGGGAAAATAAGCTCCCCTACCCAGGCTTTCAGGAATTTGGGGAGGGGGTGCAGCATGTCTGAGTGAGGAGAGATCAGTAAAGGGGGCTGATCTGAGTAGGGGTCAGGGGTCTTGCTCTGCAGTCAGTGTCATGGCCATGCCCAATCCTTACCCCAGTCTGGTTTGCCCAGGGATTGGGCCTCGCCAGGCCAGACGGGGGTTGGAGCTCTGGTTGAAAGGGCTGAAAAAGGTAGTGAACAGCTTGTAGATTTCAGCCAGCAGGGTGTTAACGGGACGTTGCTGAAAGAGGACAGGATGAAGGTGGTGCGGGCAACTGTAACTGCGTCTCCTGCTTTTCAGAAGTTTGAGTTTTGCAGCTGTAGAGGTTCTGCAAGGGGCTGATATTGCACCAGACAACCTTAACTTTGCATTAAGGAAGTGTTTTGCCCTTTAATTAATACTGCTCCCTGAGTACTAACTGGGCTGTGAGGCTGACCCCAGAGCTAAATGCTTAGAAAGAAAACAATTAAATGAGTCATGGACAGTGGATATTTTCAAACAACTCATGTCCCTCCTGTCTGCACTGGCAATGGTGAGAGGAAACCAAGCCAAGTGATTCATTCCCTCAGGACAGAAGTTTAACCACTTCCATTCTCTGTATCTTCACTATAAGGGAAAGGAACAAGAAAAGCAAATTGAGTTCAGAGAGAGAAAGTGGCAGATTTCTTTTCTCTCCAAGGCCTTGAGAGCAAACCCTATTCTCCACATGACCCTTTTCTTTATATTTAACTCCTCCCCATTGGGCTGGATTACTGCTAGTAACAAACCCTTGCTCTACTCCCTTCAGCATCTCAATGTAGTTACAATTAGGTGAGTAATGTCCATCCTTTCCCCTTCAACCTGCCTCAGATAGAGATAGAGAAGTTCTCCCTCACCAGGTGCCCATGCCATGTGTCTGTGTGTCCACACACCATGTGTCCTTCCTCTGGCAATCTTCTCAGATCACAGCACAGGGAAGAGAGCTTAATGCCTGTAACCATGCCTCAGTGGGCCACAGCTGAGAAGCTAAATTCAGGACAAACTGCTGAGAAATTGGGCAGATACACCCCAAGAGTGGTGCCTAATCCCCCATAGGATATACTAGACCAGCAACAAAAGTAAACTTCCGCTTCACCACACCGGCTAACAAGAAGTCATAAAAGTAGTTCCCTTGGGCATTACAGTCTTTGTATTACCACCAAAAACACTAGACTTAGAAATGAGTGGTTCTTTAAAACCAATCTCTTCAAATAAGAGGTTCTTCTGATCCCAAAGGACCAGCCACCCACCCAGGTCAATATATAACTTAGATATTTCCCAAAAATCACATTGATGCCAATCCTTTAGTATCTAAATTCTAAAGGTTTCAGAGTAGCAGCCGTGTTAGTCTGTATCCGCAAAAAGAACAGGAGTACTTGTGGCACCTTAGAGACTAACAAATTTGAGCATAAGCTTTTGTGGGCTATAGCCTACTTCTTCGGATTGTCAAAGTTAGATTCAGGACTCACAATTTGTTAGACCACTCTGTTTATTAGCACAGCGCTCTGCTAATACATTCAGATAATGTGAGCACCATCCAAGACCCACACTACCTTATTTTACAAAGATAAAAAGGGCATGAACTTAACAAGAGGACAAAGAAAGAAGAACTGACAAGTTTACCTGAGGCTAGAGATACATATTCAATTTCCTTACTAACTTTTACAGATCTCTGGCTAATGTTCCACCATAAGCTTAAGTGGACTCATTGTTTATGCCTTAAGGTTCCTTTTCCTGACACCTGTATTTCAGCATTCCTTATTTCTGCTTAAAGGTACATACATCATTTCTTTAATCCATTCTATTTTTACAATATAATTCATTCTACTTTCACAATCCCTCCTTTTGGTCAAGCTACTCTATGACCAACAATTACTGGGTTCCACATATTAACCGTTCTTTATCTCTTTGTTCATCAGCGATATTCAAAATCATCATATTAGCACTCTGTTTTGGGGCAGTCACCTGGGTGGCATACCTTACACAATTCTGGATAGAACAGGAGATTAACTGAAAACATACAAAAATCATTAGGATTCCAAACAGGATAGTCAGGGCTCCCTGAAACAAGCAGTTTCCTATGCCAGAGAAATTGAACAGGTTACTTAGCCACTTCCATAAAGAATTTGGCTCTTCATGGGGAAGATATGTGATAGATCACGCTAGCCACTTAGAACATATTACCTCATTGGTGTCATCAGGTATAAACACCCAGCATTCTTTTCCAGTGAGAGCTATGGCCGCCAGCACTATGTCCGATGCCTGATGGTTTTGGAGGGCCATCTGTCGGATCTCCCCTGTTTCTTTGGCCAGGGCTCTTAAACTCTCTCCGGTTTCATTTGCCATTATTTCAACTACTGCTTGTAACCTCAGGAGCCTTTTTGCATGGTGTATTACTCCCCCAAGTGGGATAAGGGAACCGCCAATGGCCTCTTCCCAGGTTAAGGCGCTTATGTTATTTACATACCATTGGGCATCTGGCAAATCCCTTCTTTGCCTGAAATTATGGAGGTGTTCTCGTGGGAAGGACCCTAGCACTCGGAATTGTGGGAAGAATCAGGCGGGATAACGGATACCTGACCAGTTTACTGCATTACCAGCTTAAGCTTTGGTCCCACAAACCCAATGATGGCCTATTAAGGCCGGGAAGGGTCGGTTGTACCCATTTGTCACATAGGTGCCTGAAAAGGAGGAGTAATATCCTCCAAAAGGCACAGGGTAATTCTCCTTACGAGGATTGGTGTTATTTGCATGGCACTGAAAGATTGTATTGTTTTCACTAAGATTACTGTAGAGGGAACATGAGATTGATTTTTCTGTTTGATCCCAGGTCGAGAAAAAATTCATATCCCCATACCCGGCTGGCCACTCTTTAGTTTTGTTTGAATAATCCCATACACCATTGGAAACAATAATGCCAAAGGCAACGTCTTTTTCCCAGATCCAGCCCTGTCCCATTACACACTCAACACCAATGTTTTTCCCTCCACCACACTTATCCATTTAGATACATTTATTCCCACTGCTTCCCAAGTGTCGTTGCTGTTCCATGTTTTGTTAAACGGACGAGGTCCTCCCGTGAGGTCTGGGGAATTGAGTGGGATTGCCAGGACAGGAACACCAGCTTGAGAGTGGGCTGGGATGTGGCTGCAGACCCAGCAATTAGAGATATTAAGGGTCTGAGCTATCCACACTTGCTGCTGGATAAAAGAATTGTCATTGTGGACTCCCCAGACCTTAAGACACCAGCAGCCGAGGAACAGGCACCACCAGAGCGCATGTTGGAGGCAAGGCCCTTCTGGTTCTGACAACCTCAACTGAGGGAACCGCAGTCACGGTTTTATGTCCAGCAGGCGCTAGGCTCGCTACTGCTTCTTGGGCCTTGCTTTAGGTCGTCGTCTGCTTCTGGCAACCCTTAGGAGAGCGTAGATTGTAAGGTATTGCAGGCTGTTCCTCTACATCTTCTTCTGGAGTCAAAATTGACTCTGCGTGGTTCTCGGGTGATGATTGGTTCGCTG